CAATCAAGTAGCACACGCCAGCAGGGAACGCCGCACCGTACAGCACGCCAACGACACCGATCACGCGGTGCTGCACGCGGGCGCCGGGCATCGCCAGTGCGGACACCGAGCCGAAGAAGATGCCGAGATGCATCGCGTGCGCCACGACGTACGTCAGGCTCGGGAAGCGCATCGCCGCCCACGCACTCGCCGCGTCCACGCCGCGCCACCGCTGGAAGGCGGCCGTCACACCGTAGTGCACGCACCCGAACACAGCGGCAAGCAGCGCGTTGCCCACCACCATCCACAGCGGATCAAGGGCAGCGAACACCGACAGGAAGTACGGCAGCGCAACGGTGCTTTCACGCTCCTGCACCGAGGCGCATGACATCCTCGCAAACACGCCGAGCACCTGCATCTCCAGAACGGAGCCCAGCCCGCCGGTCACCACCACGGCAACAGCAGCCGCACCCGCAACAACGCCGGTGATCGCAGAGAGGGCGCTGGCAGCGACGGGCAGCGTGTTGGACGCGATCGTGAAGGACCCAAGCAGCACACCCTTGCAGCCGCCAGACACCGCCGCGGCGTCGCAGCGAATGACTATCGTCTCGTCGGCAGTAATGAAGTAACCGCGGTGCACGGGCACAGCCAGCTCCAGGACGGTGGACGGATTCGTCGCGTTGCGCACCCACGTCGCGTTGCTCAGCATCGCTCCCCACGGACCACCGAAGCCGCTCGGCTGCGCCGTCGATGTAGGCACGAAGCTCAGGTGCGTGCCAAGCTGCGGGTCGCTTGCCCATCGAAACGGCGGCGGCAGCGCCACCATCAGCAGTGTCGGGACGGCGCTCCCACCGCCGCGGATGTCGCTCTGCGTCAGGCTCCCACCAGCCGCCGTCGTCGTCACGGCGAGCGTCGGGCACGCCACGTCGCTCCACCACTGCGTGCTGCTCACCGACGCCGTCGGGGTCCGCGTGGGCGGCAGCGCCACCGTCTCCGTCACCTGCAACGTCTCCGTCGGCCCGTACTGCGTCGGACTGTAGTGCGTCGTGCTCTGACTCGGCGTCCACACTGACGTCCACGTTGGCGTCGGGCTGCGCGTCTCCGTCAGCGTCGCCGTGTGGCTCAGCAGCGGCGGGGCAGGCGTGCGGTTGCACCCGTCCACGTGCGGCAGGTACACCGGCAGGCAGTCGCGCCCGTACCCGCCCTCAGCACAGCGGCAGCGGCACGATCCCGACATCGCCCTCGTCGCAGCAGCAAAGCAGTGCACGTCGGCGTCGCACGCGCCACACGCCACGGGGCGGAATTTCCCGATGATGCCGGCAGACCTGTAGTCCATCGGCTGCAGCGCCTGCCCGTTGAGCGTCAGGCACCCCACAACGAAACTTCGGCCGGCGCCTCCAAGCGTAACGGTGCCGTCCATCACGACGGACCCGCTGCCGGCGTTCCCGTGGAGCGTCAGCGTGCTCTGCGCAAATTCCGCGCTGCGCGGGTACGACGGCACCGACAAAAGCCTGCCGCTGATGCTGTTGCCGCGCACCGACAGCCACGACCCGAACGCAAACGATGCCGACCCCCGCAGCACCAGCAGCGCGCCATCGGTCAGCGCACCGACGTTGTCGTTCACTACGACGGCGGACGCGTTAGCCTCCACCCCGCTGTCGAACACCAACCCATGCGCGGCGTACACCTGGCTCCCCGACACGCGCAGCACAGCGCCCCCCGACGCAACCACGCGCGCACTCGCGTACAACGCAAAGTCGCCACCGAACACAGCCGCGTCCACCGCGACACCGCCACCGACAAGCTCCAGCACGGCGCCGTCCACCACCACCGTCCGCCCACCAGTCATCACGGTCACAAGAGCAACGTCGGACACAACCAGCACGGACCGCACGAGCCGCAGGCCCGACAGCACCAGCACCGGTGCGTACGGCGCAGACCGCGAGCCGGGAAGATACACAAGCGGCGTCGACCTCGCGGCAACCAGCAGGGAGTCCGTCACCGTCAGCACAGACCCCGCGGGAAACGTGCCGGTCAGCACAAGCGCACCGTTCAGCGCCTCCACATCGCACACCGACAGCTCCACCGGCCCGCTCTCGTCGCTCCCCGCCGCACCCGCACCGCGCAACGCTCCACCGCCCATCACGTACAGCACAGCACCGTTCAGCAGCGACACATTCTGCACAACGATCCGCACGCCGTCCCGCGCCATCCACGGCACGTACAGCACCGGACTCACGCCGTCCAGCACAACGTGGCGCAGCGTCACCTCGCTCGCGCCGGCAGGCACAACGAACACCGACTGCACCGTCACGCCCTCGCGGACAAACACACTCGACGCAGTGCCCGCAGCGGGCGGCAGCGCGGGAGCTCCCACAGGCACACACGCCTCGCCGTACCCGCCACTGCCGCACGCGCACACGCACACACCGTTCTTCATGCTCGCCGACGCCGTCCCGGGCGCGTAGCAGTACGTGTCCCTGTCGCAGGCGTCGCACCCAACAACGTCGATGCTCCCAGCGTCGCCAAAACCGGCCGCTGCGTACTCCTCCGCCGTCGACAGGACACGTCCACCAACGTCGTTGCACGCAACCCTCAAATGCGCCCCAGCCGAGAGCGACAGGCTCACCGACACCATCCGCGGCAGCAGCGCTCG